GGGGGGGGGGGGTTCCAGGGGGGGCGAGGGGAGCAGATGCTGCTTGTGATTTCCTCCCTACATCAGCAAATCACAGCCCTGAGCAAGCAGACGCCGGCTTCACCTTGAAGGGCAGGGCAGAGCGTGCGGGGCTGGCACAGGCTGCGACAGGGACCCTGGTACTGGTGGGGGTCAGGGGAGGACAGAGAGTGCCCTCACACACCCCGAGATTCCTTGGCTGGGAAGGAAACGCATCCCTGGACAACCTCCCATCAAGTCCCAACCCGGACCAGGGGGAGAATCTGGAAGCTGCAGGCGGGAATTTATGAGCCCTGTCCCCATTAAAATAGCAGGGGATATTTCCATCTGTCAGTAACCGGGGACAAACAGACGGGCTCCTTCGCACACCCCAGACCTCGCTCGAACAAAACCACCCGGGCAGGATCTGGCACACACATGACCATTGCCACGCCAGGAATTTATGGCTCCAGCTTGCCCCGTCTTTAGCAGGAGCAGGTATTTATACAGGCTGATTCCCCGGGGGGGTGCCAATGCCCAGGCACCGCAGCCAGAGCCCTGGCACCCACCACAGCTCCCAGCTGCCCACCCTCTCGCTTTGCTGGGGACAAGCATCCTCCCAACCCAGCTGTGAGCCCTGTCCCATCAGCACTTTCCTGCCTTTGAGGAAATTTGGTGTTTGGTGGGATGGAACGTGCCGGAGGGGAGCACGGGTCCAGGACCCCCCCAAGTGCAGATGTGCCAGAAGCCACCAGTAAACCCAGCAGGGAAGGCACCAGCACCAAGCACCATGACCACCCCGGTACCCGGAGAGCATCATGCTGTGCACGTGGGATGCTGCTATGACCACCCGTCCCCCAAAACAGGGCTGGGGGGGGGGCACACACAAGGGGTTTTATCACCCGGCAACGCACTGCTGCTCTGCTCTTTGTGTCACAGATCTCTTTGCCAGCCCTTCAGATGTCACTAAACAAACATTTCCTGACAAAGCTGGCACCGGGCTCCAGCCCCTCACTGGGGGGCTCCTGGGGGTTGCACGCTGTGGGTCGCAGAGGGGCAGCGAGAGGCTGGCACCCAACAGGCCGTTTTACAGGATTCCAGCATGTTCCTGCCCTCTCCCCATCTCCAAACCCTGGCTGGGCAGAGCCCATCAGTCCTCTCAGGGTGACATTTCTGGGCACAGTTCCCTGCCTCCACACAGGAGAAAACCTGCAGCGCTCGGCTGCACGGGTCCTGGGCAAGTAAATGCCAACAGATGGCACAAAGGGCAAACCAGTCCTTGCTGCACACCAGCTCCTGTCCCACAGCAGCCAGTGACCCAGTAACAGCCTCTCCACCCCTGGATGCGCTCCTCCCATCCACACAAGTCACCCATGGAAACCCAAGAAGATGCTCAGGAAGACTCAGAGAACCAGCGACCGTACTCACACACGGGCAGAACCCACACGTCCACCCATCCACAGCAGCACCGTGGGCTCTCGGGCCCCAAAACCACTTGAGGGACCATCAGTGCCAGCGGGGTGGGGGACACCCCCCTGGAATTCAAGCAGACCAGCAAGTGACAGACGCTGAGGACACAACACAACCTTCCCGAACATGCCCTGGATCCGACGCACCGAGCCCAGCCAAGCAGATGCCCCCGAGAGAGGGCAACCTTTGGGCCACCTCGACCTGAGGGATGGCTCCTACCTTGGGCTGCTGGCATCTTCCCCTTGTTGAGCTGCTTGAGGCGCTTCTGGTGGGACTTGCCGTTGTAGTGGATCTGCGCCTGCGCGGCCGAGTTGAGCTGGATGTTGCAGACCTCGCAGAGCGTGAACGACTGGTGCTTCTTCTCCCTCTTCATGCGCTGCTCGGGCTGGCCCGGTGGGCAACTGGCCGCCTCCACCAGCCGTAGCCCACTCTCGGGGTTGTGGGACGGGCTCAGGGGTCGCTTCATGCCTGCAGGAGGAAGGACAGACCCGCCGTGAGGACAGAGGGACCAGGAGCGGGGAGGGATGGCAAGTCAGGAAAGCCAGCACTGGTCCCACATCTATGGGGTGCCCAGACTGGATCTGGAGGGTGTTCCCCAAGTGAGAGCAACAGCATTTGCATCTCATCAAGATGTCACATTAGGCAAGGTGACATGAGCAGCAGCGTTCCCAGGAGGTTAGTGCTGGAGCAGGGAATAACCCACTTCTTCCAAGTTTCTTGCACCAGATGACACTCCTCCTGCCAGTCAGAGCTGCTCTGGTCAGCCCAAGGCAGAGTTGGGAGGGCAACCAACCCAAAGAGATTCAACTGGGAGGGCTGGTGTGCTGCCCCACCATCCCGCAGCCCAGCCCCACCACAGCAGGAGGGGGGGGACCAGCACTTCAACCACCTTCTCACCTGCTTTAACCTTCTCCTGAACATCGGGGTCAGCAGGAACCGACCCCCATCGGCAGCGTGGATGGATGGATGCTGTGGGAGGGGACTGAGCTCCCGCGGGACTCCTTTTTGGAGCAATCCCTGCAATTTCTCCCCAAAGACAAAAGACGGCAACTCAAGCACCCCTAAAATTGCCCCCCCCGGTTCCCCAGCACCGAGCCCAGCGTGGGTGGGTTCAGTGGGGGCTGCCCACCCCACAGCACCCCACAGGCGGGGGGAGCGTCCGGAGCCGCGCAGATAAAGCGGGTTTTGATGCATTAAAAACAAATAATCCAGATAAGAATCATAGAAGAATCATAGAAGAATCATAGAAGAATCATAGAAGAATCATAGAAGAATCATAGAAGAATCATAGAAGAATCATAGAAGAATCATAGAAGAATCATAGAAGAATCATAGAAGAATCATAGAAGAATCATAGAAGAATCATAGAAGAATCATAGAAGAATCATAGAAGAATCATAGAAGAATCATAGAAGAATCATAGAAGAATCATAGAAGAATCATAGAAGAATCATAGAAGAATCATAGAAGAATCATAGAAGAATCATAGAAGAATCATAGAAGAATCATAGAAGAATCATAGAAGAATCATAGAAGAATCATAGAAGAATCATAGAAGAATCATAGAAGAATCATAGAAGAATCATAGAAGAATCATAGAAGAATCATAGAAGAATCATAGAAGAATCATAGAAGAATCATAGAAGAATCATAGAAGAATCATAGAAGAATCATAGAAGAATCATAGAAGAATCATAGAAGAATCATAGAAGAATCATAGAAGAATCATAGAAGAATCATAGAAGAATCATAGAAGAATCATAGAAGAATCATAGAAGAATCATAGAAGAATCATAGAAGAATCATAGAAGAATCATAGAAGAATCATAGAAGAATCATAGAAGAATCATAGAAGAATCATAGAAGAATCATAGAAGAATCATAGAAGAATCATAGAAGAATCATAGAAGAATCATAGAAGAATCATAGAAGAATCATAGAAGAATCATAGAAGAATCATAGAAGAATCATAGAAGAATCATAGAAGAATCATAGAAGAATCATAGAAGAATCATAGAAGAATCATAGAAGAATCATAGAAGAATCATAGAAGAATCATAGAAGAATCATAGAAGAATCATAGAAGAATCATAGAAGAATCATAGAAGAATCATAGAAGAATCATAGAAGAATCATAGAAGAATCATAGAAGAATCATAGAAGAATCATAGAAGAATCATAGAATCGTCTAGGTTGGAAGAGACCCTTGGGATCATCAAGTCCAACCATCTCCCTTACTCTACAAAGTCCTCCCCTACCCCATGTCCCTCAGCACTGCATCTAAATGTCCCTTAAACACAGCCAGGGGTGGGGACTCCACCCCCTCCCTGGGCAGCCTGTTCCAATGCCCGACCACTCTTTCGGTGAAAAATTCCTTCCTAATGTTCAATCTAAACTTACCCTGTTGGAGCTTGAAGCCGTTCCCTCTCGTTCTGTCACTAATTACCTGTTAGAAGAGACCAGCCCCAACCTCTCTACAGTGTCCTTTCATGAAGTTGTAGAGAGTGATGAGGTCTCCCCTCAGTCTCCTCTTCCTCACACTAAACAGCCCCAACTCCCTCAGCCGCTCCTCATACGATTTGTTTTCCAGCCCCCTCCCCAGCTCCGTTGCCCTCCTCTGCACTCGCTCCAGCACCTCCAGATCTCTCTTGGATTGAGGTGCCCAAAACTGGACACAACACTCGAGGTGTGGCCTCCCCAGTGCTGAGTACAGGGGCACAATCACCTCCCTACTCCTGCTGGTCACGCTATTTCTAATCCAAGCCAGGATGCCATTGGCTTTCTTGCCCCCCCTGGGCACACGGCCGGCTCATATTCAGCCGTTTGGCAACTAGAACCCCCAGGTCTCTTTCTTCCAGGCAGATGGAGTCGGGGCAGCCCCGGTCTGTACGGGGGTGGGGGTCCCAAAAACCCCTACCCGGACCCGCGGGGAGGGAGGGGGTGGCTCTGCGGGGACAGGGTTGGGGGAGAACAGCAGTGGGGACCCCCCCACCGCGGTGTGTGGGTGCGTTCCCCCCCCATTCGTGCAGTGAAAGCCCCATCCTCAGTGGGTTCGGGCACTTCCAAGGTGCCAGATGCATCTCAGTCTTTCCAGACAGCACCCACCCCCCCCTTAAAAGTTATATTTAGCAAAAAAGTAGCGGGAGATTTTTTCCACAAGCTGTTAATTGAGCCGGTGGCAAAAGTCAGGACCTGCAGGGATGGAGGGTGACCCAGCCAGGTGTCACCTCAGGGGATGTCACCACCCCACACCCACTGCAGGGCTTGGCACCATCTCCTGAAGGAATCAAGTCATTTTGGCCCAGGGAGGGGGCTCACAGGTGGGGATGGGCCAGGACCTGCACAACGTGCCCCAACCTTGATGCGATCCATGCACCGGGCTGAAGGCTGGACCAACCACCAACAGCCCCTTCCAGTCTAAATTACTGCACAGTTAGCCCAAAATGTCAGCAATAAGAGCCTTAAACCCCTGCTTCACCAGTTAATAAGCAGCATGACTAAAAGGAACTCTACTTTAAAAGCAAATTAATGTTCCTGCTGGTGCAGCAACGAGAGCGAGGAGCTCAGCACCAGAGCTGCCCCCAACAACCCCACGTGTGGTCATTCCCCAAAACCAGCCACGATCGATGCCCGGTTGCACTCGGACGGGCAGGGAGCCCCGCGGGACGGCGAGGAGAGGGCCTTTACCAGAATAACCATTAGCAGAGCAGCCGGAAAGTAGATCTGGGAGATGATCAGCATCAGGAATGTGAAACAGGGCCCCGGGGACGCAGCGGGACACGTGGAGCCCTGGTGGGGACGCGCCAGCAGAGGCAGGTCCCTGGCTGCCCTTGGCATCCTCCCCCTCCCCGGGTATTTTTAATGCAATCGCATCCCGGGATGTGGAGCTAAAATTGGAACATTATGTGGACAAAGTATCCCAAAAGCCTCCCTTGTCTTAAAAAAAGGAACTGCTGTTGCTTTGATTAGACTGAGCCTCCCTGTCCCGGCTCTCGTTGCAGCGTTTAAAAGGTCTGTCATAATTACACTCACGCTCGTCTCATTCACTTAATTTCTGCTGCCCCTGTCCTGCTTCTCGGGTGTCAGGAGGTGAATTTGGTGATTGGTGGAGGGGACAAGTCACTGCACACGTGGGGACTGCGGCCCCTGACTGACGGCTCCTTTGGGGCAGATTTCAGCAAAGCACCAAGGATCTTTGGGGGGCTGCTCAGCACCCAGCACCTCAGCATTGGCCTGAGGTCCCCAAGAGGTCCTCTCCACAGCCAGCCCAGCCCTCACCCTGTCTCTAAAATGATTATTGAGCTCATAGTGCCCATAGAAGGGAAGGGGGAGAAACTGAGGCACAGTGAAGGTTAAATGACACCCCACACAGCCCCCCAAAGGTGACCCAGGGGCTCTGAGCCAACCCCAGCACCAAGCCCAGGGTCACCACATCCTAAGTCCACTGTCCTCATCCCACCCTGGGGTCGATGCAGCCAAGCTTTTGTTTTCTCCATGAAGGACCATGAGCAACCTCATCTTTTGGGTGGTTCTTCCCAAGGGGTAACAGGGCTCCACTGGGACGGGGAGGCTGAGCTGCCACTCACCCACCCCTGCCCAGATCTCACCTGACTGACCAGCACCAGCAACACCCCCCAGACCCATGATGCCCCCCACCACCACTACGTGCTCTTCTTGCTGCCCTTCACTGGGAGCCACCAGGGCTCCTTTGGCTGCCCACGTGGGACCGAGGGCTCCTGCGGGTGTGGAAAGCTCGTGACAGATGTCCAAATCTCTCTGAAATTAAAGAAGGTCAGAGCAGCCTGGGTGTCACGGCAGCGGCAAGCGCCGGGTCACAGCACCCACCCTCCCACCCCCCAGCCTTCCCAGGGTGGTTGCCCACCCGGCATGGTGAGATGCCAGCCTGGCCACCACCAGTCCCTGATCCCCCAGGCACCCCCCAGACACATGGCCTGGGGCTGCAGCTCCCACCTCTGAGTCCAAGGGGGCTTTTCCCCTCTAGTCCTCAACCACTTTTACCGCTCACAACCACTTGGAATTACAAGTTGATTTTGGGAATGCCATCCCCTCGTCCCCTGTCACTCCCAGCAGCCAGACATGGTGTCCCCAGCCGAGCAGCACAGGAAGTCCATCATTTTAAGGTCAGTTTTATACTCTTGTACAGTAGCCCATAACCTCAGGTCTCTCCCTCTCTCTTTTTTTTTTTAATAACACCATAAACATGTTGCAAGACTGTAAAGTGTTGACAAATGTTAGAGACAATTTAAAGTCCAAGCATTAAATACCTGAAATAAGAAAGGCTCTGGTTTATAGAGGGTGCACGACAGCAGAACTTGCCTCCTTTCCACAGAGCATCCCAGGGGGTGGAAGAGAAGTGGTGGATCAAGGCTCTGCTTGGCAAGGACATGCTGCTTCATCTGCTCCAGGACCTCTGCAGTGGCTCCCCCCCCGTTCAGCCCCCAGGGACCACACTTCCCCACCCACAGCAATTTCTCCTCCCAGGAGCCAGGTCAGATCCATTTGCAGCAGGAGCCCGGGCAGCAGGACTCTGTCCCAGCACTGGCACTGGCCCCAGGGACGCTGCATCCCTGGGCACTGGGGCAACCCCTGAGCTGATGCCACAGCCCAAGTGAACGTCAGCCCCGGGAGAGCCCTGACCAGTCCCCTGAGCACCCGGGGCCTGTCCTTGCCCTGTCCTTGGCACCCAGACAGCAGTGAGATCCCATTTCCCAAGAACTTGGTGCCTCCAGGCTCCCTTTTGGGGAACGGGGTTGGTCACTGCCCTGTGGTCCCCTCCGCAGGGGACGTCCTGGGGGCTGCTCTGTGCAGTCAGGGGACGAGTTTCTGAAGAAATATCCTCCACTTCACCTCCTAAATGGGAATCAAACTCTTCAGAAGCTACAACTCTCCACACAGGCTGAAGACCTGACACATGCCAGGAGCTGCCCGTGCACCCCACGAGCTTGGCGATGCAGCATCCTGAGCCCCCACAGGATCCCAACCCCCAGCAACCAGGGAGGGTCACGTCTCAGTGAGCCCCTGGGCTGTCCAGGTGGACCACGCCGTGCCCTGTGCCACAGCTGGCCACCTTCTTCTGCATGGCCCTGCCAGGAACTTGTGGGTGACAGCAGCCCCCGTCGCCAGCAGGGAGGAGCGAGGGGGATTAGTGGGGGCGATGCCAGCAGACATCTGCAGCCTGCTGACACATTTACACACCCTCAGACGGCAAAGGAGGAGCTGGAGCTCAGGGCACGTGGCAGAGGTCTTGGGTAGCCACCCGCCCTCCATGCTGGGGCCCCCCCAAATCTCCAAATAGCTGCTCTGTAGCCAGGGGAAGAGACTGGCACCCAGAAAAGCAGGGTCTGGGCATGGGCTAAGGCACAGGGACAAGGAGGAGGGTTTTGGCCAAGATCTGAAACGCTGATTAGAGTGAGTTTGGTGCCCATTGGGTCCTTTGCCTCAATTCTGACCCTCCAGATAAGAAACCCCACAGCGCAGGGAGCGGTTAAACTCAGCCCGACCAGAGGTTTCCACTCTGATACAGCCTGAGATCTGCCGGGGGTCCTTCTCCCAGTCCCACCCCAACAGGGACCCCCAGGCTCCCTCCTGCCACCGATTTGTGTCCCCTGAGGCTTTTATTGGGCCTGAACACAATGGACCCAACGCCTGGGGCCAGAACCTCCACCCAAGTAAAACCGCCTTCGTCACGGAGCTCGAGCGGCATCAAAATCTCTAATTGGCAAATCCGTCCCATTGAGCCACGTGGAATCAGGGAAACTATCCCCTGAACCTAAAGTCAGGATGAACTCTAAAAAGAAATCTTAAAAAAAAAAAAAAAAAGAAAACCTGATTTGAGTTCCCAAGATTCCACAACTCTGAATCCACTTCCCTTGTCTCTGGTTGAGCGCACGCAATAGTAAATAAAAGCAATGGAAGTATCAGAATTAGTAAGAAAGTCGCCACCAACAGCTGTCACAAAACTCACGGAGCAACGACCTTACCTGCAACGGCCCCGTTTGCATTTGCCAGGATCCAGAGGAAAGGCAGAAAATCCCCCCGACCCTCACCCGAGCGCGACCCCAATCACTGCACCCCACTCCCGCCTCAGCCTCCACTTTGCTGCTGGAACTGGCCGCTGGAGCTGACAGCATTTTCCCAGGAAAACTGGCTGGAATGAGTAAATTCCCCAGGAGTTATCCCACGCGCGGGGGTGTCAATCTCAGCAGAAGGGCTGGTCGAGTCCTGCAGCGGCTCCATGATCCTCTCACTGCCACACACAGAGGCCAGGCAGGTATTTGGATCAGGACCCCCCCGCTGTGCCCACCCTCCGGAGCCCCCCAAGGAGCCCTCGACCCACCTCGGGGCACAGAGGAGCCCACCTGGGGGGTGGCAGCCACCCCATCCTGCCGTCACACAGACCCTCACCACCAGCACAGCCCATTTCCAACCCGTGTGGGCTCAGGACAAAGTGACACCCAAAGGGGCAGCACCGGGTGCCCCCAGCCCAGCGCGGGGAGGCTCTTACCTGGTGGCCAGCAACGGGAGCGTGGAACGAGCCCTGAGCAGCCGCCGAGCCCGTGTGCCGCGGGGGCACCGCAGACACCCCTGTGCCCGCAGAGTTTCCGACCCTGGTCTCGTATTTCAAGGAGCGCTTCAAACGCCATTCGATCGCCACTAAATCAGCCCTCATCAGCAGCCTCCGGCCGGGGCGAGCAGTGCTGGAGGCTCAGCAGGTTCCCAAAAAGCGCCCAGCGTCACGTGGGGCGGCTGGTGCCAGCTGGCACAGCCTGTGCCCGAGGGGCCGCCGGCAGCCAAGAGCGGGCCAGTGCCCCCAACATGGGAGGGGGGAGGTCCCCAGGGCTGCCCCTGAGGTTGGACCCACAAAATTCCCCGGGGAACTTCATAAAGAGGCACCAGGTGCTGGCAGGGGGGTGCAAAGGGACCCGGTCTCGGCTGCAGTGGGCACACAGGGGCTCTGACCCCATGGCCCTGGAGACCCACTATGGCATCAAGAGATGTTCTGACTTCCCAAACTAAGAGCTGAGCAGACACGGGCAGACCACAGGTTTCAGAGGGCCGTGGCCATGCCCACACCACTTTCAGCATTTCATAACGTGGCATCAAATCAGTCCCCCTTGTGCTCCCCCTCCCCAGCCCCAACATATGCTCTGCTAATGCCGGAGCGAGGCACATTTTAGGATCAGTCCATAAATCAAAACAAGGATTAGTGTCAGCCGGTCTCAGGGCTGCAGGCTGGCTCCTGGGGGCTGACCCTTGGATGCCCCCCTCAGATGTCCTCCCTGGGGTCCCCCCTCAGTCCCTCTCCCCCCCAACTGAAGGGCAGGGGGACACCCTGCAGCACGCGGGCACGCAGAGGGCATTGCAGGGGCACACGCCGGTGCTGCGGTGCCTGTCCTCTCCTTTGCACATCAGGGATCATTAGCGCCGCAGGGCTGCGTGTCCCCTGAATCAGCAGATCACAGCCCTGCTTCCGAACGGCCAGGACGGCTCAAACCCGAGCACAAGGAGACGCCGGGGAGGGAACAAGGCTACTTTCCTGCAGCAGCACAGAGAACATGCCCATCTGCCCCAGGAAGCTGGGAATTGCCTCTCATCTCCCACCCCAGGGTCCTGCATCCCTCAGCTTCTAACGCTGCGCCCGTAACGCCTCCATTAATCATCTTCAGCAGGGACCAAAGGGGCAGAACGTGGGGTAAAGAGAGAGAAACGGCGGTGGCAGCACAGGCAGGGTGTACAGGCTCTGTCTCTTTAGAATGATAGATTAGGTGCTGGGTCTGGGGATCACACTGTCCTGGGCACACATAGGTCCTGTCCCTCCCTGGGGGTGAGGGTGGGCTGGAGGGGTGCTCCTGGCAGCGACCCACCAGCTCTGGCACCAGCAGAGGGACAAGGAAAGCAAACACGGGCAGGGAACGTGACATTTTGTCCCCGGGGGCTCAGCTGTAAATGTTAACACAGCACAAGGGAGCAGCAGGAGAGGAAAGACCCGCCATTCATTAACCCGAGCGGCTGCCGCCCCGCACGCTGCCAGCTGTGGAACGCCTGGCACGGGGCCGGCAAGATCACAAAATCCTTCAGGTTTGGTACCATCAGCACAAAGATTAGGGCAGAGCTACCGTGTCCGAGCCCGCAGCGAGCAGAAGCTCTGCCTGTCCTTGGTGCATCCACCCGGCACTGAGCCCTCACGTGATGCCAAGCACAAGGAGGGCTCAGAGATAGAATCATAGAATCATTGAGGTTGGAAGAGACCCTTGGGATCATCGAGTCCAACCATCTCCCCTACTCTACAAAGTCCTCCCCTACACCATGTCCCTCAGCACTGCATCTAAACGGCCCTTAAACACAGCCAGGGGTGGGGACTCCACCCCCTCCCTGGGCAGCCTGTTCCAATGCCCGACCACTCTTTCTGTGAAAAATTCCTTCCTAATGTTCAATCTAAACCTCCCCTGTTGGAGCTTGAAGCCGTTCCCTCTCGTTCTATTGTTAATTACCTGTGAGAAGAGACCAGCACCAACCTCTCTACAGTGTCCTTTCAAGTAGTTGTAGAGGGTGATGAGGATGCGGGAGAGCAGGGGACCCAGCTGGGCTGGCATCATCCAGGGCAGGGAAGAGCCAGCCAGGCAGGGGGGGGGTCTGAAGACTCACAGTGGGAGAGGAATAGACCAAGCAGTTGGCCAAGCTTTGGGGAGAAGGCAGGGATGTCCCCAGGGCACACTGTCCATCCTGGGGTGGCTGCTGGAGGAGCAGTGCCCAGCAAAAGGGACCAGGCTGTGGCTGCCCCCCCAGCTCCGCGCCGCTCGCCTCTCAAAATAACCCTGCGGAGCGCAACCTGATGCAGCCACGGGGCACATCTTGGCCTCACTGCTTCTCCCCCCGTCGCTACACGTGGGGTTTCTTCAAATCCCCCTGAAATCAAATCCAGACACCACTTGTGAGATGGCACCATCCCCTCTGGGCATAGGGCTGGCACCCGTCACCCCAGCAGAGCCCTGACCCTCGCAGCGACTCGCCCAGACCCATAAACAAGGAGGTGGTGCCCCATGTGGGGCTGTTTGTTGGTAGCAGAGCTCCCCCCATCCCTCCTGCGTGGATCAAGGGAACCCCTGTCCCGACCCAGACCCCCACCAGTCTCCTCTCTGGACTTGCTGCAACTATTTCCTCTTGGAAAATAAACCCCAAAGAAACACATTATGGCACAGGGAGGGGTCTGAGCCCCAGCAGCGCCTCGTGCCCATCACTGCAGCTGCACGGGCAAGTTCCTGGAGAAGCCAACCGACCATGTGCTCAGGACTCAGCACGAGATTATCACATTAAACACTGAAAGTCCCAGTTTAGAGAACCCCAGCCAGTGCTGCTCCCTCAGCAAAGCCAAACTGAATGGGGTACAGCTGGGTTCGTGCCCAAGCCACAAAAGGAGAAGGCAAAGCTTGGAGGCAACACCAGGCCAGCACCTTCCCAAGCCAGGAGAGACCCTTCCCCACCCCAGCCCCATGCCCAAACCCAGCACCCAGTGAGGAGCCATCACCTCCACCGCGGGCACCAAAGGCTGGGCCAGCACTGGCCACCCCTGGAAGCACAAAGCCACCAGCGCCACGGTGGCGGCGGTCACATTCCCCCACCCACGCGTGTCCCCAGGCAGCAGAGGTGGGGACACCCACCACAACCACTTACAGTGATGAGCAGGGGTCCCAGTGCAGACCCCCAAAGACAGGCAGGGTCTTCCCTACCAGCTCCCCTCACTCCCACATCTGGGCCAGCAGCTTTTTGGGGCCAAAACAGGCTTTTAAGCGTGTTTGTTGATCGCTGCAGGCTAACACAGGAGACCTTCAATTTAAGTCAGAGTTCTTGCAGGCTACTGTATTACAACTTAAATTAAATATTTCATAGTGCTAAGCAAGTGACATTTGAAATCCAGTCATCGCAGGGGTATCAAATAAAGATATTTGCAACAGGAGCTGCTTAAATCCGTGCAGTGCTTTGGATCACTCCACCAAAACAAGCCCATTGCTTTATTAAAATAAAAGTTATCAAACACCTGATCTCCTGGAGGCGGCTCCGGAGCCCACGCAGTGGGGCTCAGCGGGTCGGGGGCAGTGAATAAGCTGAGCCCTGTGACCCCCCCAGCCTGCCATTGAAGTTCAGCTCTGAAGGCTATTTTCATTAAGAAGTTAAGACTGGCGAGTGACTTTGCATTGCTTCTGCCTTCTGGACCTGCCACGACCACACGTTGTGTATTTTTTAAGCACCAGCCCTGAAACACCCACATCTCAACAGAGACCATCCCCATGTCCCGCACTCAGAAGAGCTCAAACTCCAGAGGGAGCTGCACCAAACACCACCCACACAACAGCAAGTTCTTCCCAGCCATGGGGACCCCCCCAAAACATGAGACAGCACATCAGGACCTACCAGAGGATGGCAGGGGGCTGGGCTGGCAGAGAGCAAAGCCATCCCTGCCCAGGGATGCCAGAGTGCAGGAGCAGGGATGGGGGAGCAGGACCACCAGGCAGAACACCCCTCCAAACACCCCCCAGGGCTGCTCCCAGCCCCTTCTTATCACCCTCCCAAATTCAGCCCAGCTGGGGCTGCCTGTGGGCTGGGGGCACCCTCTGCCAGCAGCTGGTGGCGAGGGATTAATCACAGCAGAGAGAAGGTAAAGCACCTGCCACGAATCAAACCTGTGTCCACCCAGATCCCCCAGACACTGGTGTTACTGGGATTTCCATGAGGTGGTTCAGTTCTGGCAAATGCCTGATCGACTTCCCCAGTAACACAATGTGTTCGCTGTATAAAAACACACTTTTAAAACAAAACGTTGTCAAAAGAGAACAAAACAACTTTCATTAACTTCCCTAAGAAGTGCTTGGGGAGGTAAAGGCTGGAGTAGGATGTTTTGCATCACTCAGAGCGGCTGTGACAGGGAGTCCAGGCAGCAGGATAGGGCTTGACGATGAGGAACGTGTGTTCAGGGGCAGATTTGGGGAGAATTTCCTCCCCAGCACATGGATCAGCCCCAGCAGCTTCAGTGGGAACAAAAGGCTCCCCTGGTGCTTTGTCAGAGGATCGAGGACCGGGACCCTGGTCACCAGGACCACTGTCAGGCCTGACCACTGGCCACTGGCTACCAAGCCCTGAACTTCAGAGAGGGACCGAAAATCCTGATTCCTCTGCATCGCAGCAGAAGGGGCTGCTCTCAGCTGAGCCTGCCCCAGATCTGCAGCTCTTGTCGTGGCTCTGAAGTTCCCAAACCTCCCGACTGCCGGGAAGAGCTTGAAAAAGCATCTCCAGCTGAAAGGCAGATGACAAGTAAAAAGAACCCCGAATTTATTGTTTTCTTAGAATTCGGAGTGGGAGGAAGGAAAATGGGACGACCCATGATTTTTTAATGTCTGCACTTGGCAGTTCCATATTTAATGTGACAGCATCCCTTTAAGAAAAATATGTTCATACACGGGAAAGAAAATAAATTGGCGAAGCAATTTGCTTTCAAGCCAGCCTGACAATTCCTCACACAAACACTTCGCTGCAGCCCTGGCTGAACCGCAGCGGCCGGTGCTCCGTGCTGGGCAGCAGATAATCTCAGAGTTTAAGGATGCTTCACCGGTTGACGAGCCCATCTGCTAATACTGGGAGCAGTAATTTA